ATCTTTTCCCACCTGCATGCCTCATCTCATGCCATTCCCTAGTCCTGGGATGCCTTCCCCCAAAACTGCACCTGTCAATTATCCCACTAGTCATTCAAGATCCAGTTCAAATTCCAATTCAGTCTGAAATGAGCCTTCTTCATTTAGAACAACTCATAGTAGTCAAAGTAGTACTTTGTACTTCTTACATGTACTTTTCAGATACTTTTTTTTTATATTAGGAGCAGCATGGCATAATAGATAGCTTATTGGGCTTAGGGTCAAGAATAGATGGGTTCATATTCTAATCAGATCTTTTCTGGTTGGGTGGCCTTGGGCAGATTACTTAGCTGATTTGTGCTTTGGTTTTCCTATCTATAGAATGGATGTTGGAATTGATAGCATTATATCCTCTTCTAGATTTAACTTGGTGATCCTATAATTATGGTTAATTGGGTATTCATTATCTATTTTATACTTGAGTATAAATTCGTTGTGCTCAGGGACAGTTTCTTATTTGTTTTTGTGTCTCCTTTCATACATAGTACAGTGTTCTAGACATAGTGGGTGTCTACTAGATATTTATTGAATTAAATTTAGCTCTAAAGCCAGAGGTTTATTTTCATTTTAGCCAGGCACTTGAAAGGCTGAACAAGTCAACAAGTATTTATTAAATGCCTACTATGTGTATATACTGTGGTAAGTGCTGGCAAAAAACAAACAAATATGTCCCTGCTTTCGAAGTACCTGCTCATAGTCATGAGACAGAGGGGGAAGGTGATGTGAAAAATAACTATGTACAAATGATATAAACAGGATAAAATGGAGATAATCATAGTGGGTAGGCACTAGCATTAAGGGGGATCAGGAAAGACTTCTAGTAGAAGGTGAAATTTTAGCTGGGATTTGAAGGAAGTCAAGAAAGACAGGACATGGCAATAAGGAAGGAGAGAATTCTAAGCTAGTGAAAGTAGAGTATCTCATTTGAAAAACAACAGAGACCAGTATCACAGGACTGCAGATGGATAGGTGTAAAGTGTAAGAAGACTGGAAAAGAGGAAAGGGACAGGTCATGGAGGTCTTTAAAAGCCAGAGGAATTTATATTTGATCATGGAGGTAGTAGGGAGCCACTGAAGAGTAGGGTGGTGATGTGGTCCACTTGCGCTTTAGGAAGATCAATTTGACAGTTGAGTGGAGTTGACTTAGCCATTGGGTGTTCAAGTAGAGTGACTTCTTAGCTGGCACATTTTAAACTTGGTACTCTGAGTACTTAGAATATATTAATTTTCCTTATGAGTTAGGCTTGATCACATTATGGCATATTTGGGATACTGTGGTTCTAAACTGGCAAGCTGTCTTCTGTTCTGCATTTGCTCTGTAGGAGCTCCTGTTGATAGGAATTCACCCTCTCTCTGCAATGTCCATGGAGATGTGGCTTGGGGATAATGATATTATTTCCTTCTTCCTCCAACTGCAGTTATTTCTATCCTCATGATTCATTTTGGCTTTTGTTAGTGGTAGACAACATAGCAGATTCACCATAATGTTTTAGCCTGCTCTGGAGCCATTGATTTTAGGAGCCAATGCAGCTCCCTACTTAGAAAATCTTTTCATTTCCTAAGTTATCAATGGGGTTGTTCCAGTTAGGTTATTAAATATTTAGGCACAGTCTATAGGCAGTTTAATTTGAAATAAAAAAACCTATCAAGTATATAGCTTATGTCTCTGTACAGTATTGCATTACCCAGCACTGTCTCAAGAAACTGGATGGTTTATGATGAGGGAGGTGTTTGTGCACCAGCCAAACAAACTGTCACATATCTCAGGATGCAGAGCCATATCCATTTTTACTGAGTTAACTTTAAGGTTTCCAATGACATCATCCCATTTGGGATTTTAAAAGTTCTGCAAATTTAAATGCAAAACATAGTTCAAGATGTCTATTTTTTTCCTTGCTTTTTGATTTTGACCTGAGAAATCCATTTCATTTCTAGATTCAGTTCAAAGCATCCCACATCACTTCAAATCTGTCTTTCCTCATTCAGACACAGGAAAATCAGTGTTTTCTTGGTGGGCACTTGCCATTTGGTTAATTTCTATTTCACTATTGTGGTCATGATGGTGCTGTCCTAGTGATGAATTTCTGGGCATGCATTTCCCTCCCTTTGCTCTCAGAAACATGTTGTGATAATTAAATAGTTCATTTGCTAACATTCTAATTTGAAGAGTCTAACACCTGCAAGACAGAAACTATGAGTATCTCTTCAGGAGTCAGGAGAGCTGAACTCAGCAATTCCCCACATGTGGATGTTACCCATATTCTAATTCCTTGCTATAGCCTCTTTCAGTGGAGAACAACTCCAGGGCTTTTTCATTTCCCGACTAAATCAGGGAACCAACATTGCAGACTACACAGAAGCTCCCTATAAAGTTTTGCATTGATTTAAAAATAGAGAAAGAGAGTTCTTCTTCTTTTTTTTTTAAAAAAAAACCCTCTTGTTCTTTTTACCAATCTCTTGTAATTTCTGTTCACCAGTATCTTGGTTCTTAAGTGACTGTTTTTATTTAGTTTCCCCTTGCCTTTCATTTTCCTCTAAAATGAATCAAAAGCATTTTTATTGAAAAATTATTTGGAATATTTGCTTTGTTACTTTGAAAAGCAAATTTTGGCTGAAACCTCTGCTTGCTTTTGCTCTAAAAGATCTGTGTGTGTATGGGGGCGGGGGCAGGGGTGGGGAAGGAGGGGTCTGTGCTTAAACTAAAAAAGATGATTAGGCTTTATCTACACTGGTAGCCTAGTGACTTATAAGTTAATGTATCTCTATAAATGTCAGAAAATACCAGAGAATAACTTAGGCACTGGGGAAAATCTGGCTCAATATTTTCAACAAGACAATGTGTGAGTTTACAGAAGGTTCAATCCCCATCCCTGTTTCCAAATAATAAAAGAGAATGAAATAATTATGTAACGTGAATCAGACCACTCGATGGAAAGATTAAAGTGATGCAAACCAAAGCTGGCTCATAGTAAATGTGAACATTTTCAAATAAAATTCAGTTATTCAGTGAATTTAAAATACCATTGAAGTGAGATGAATCTTTTAAAATATTTTATCACTGAGTTGTTACAATGTTCCTTCTACAGATATTACTACATCACCATCTAATTACTGATAAAATATACCAGAATAAAAAAAAAACCCAACAACCCAGAAATCTTGCCATATACAAACTTGGTTTAATTTGTGAGATAACACCGTGTTACTTGAGAAAATTTTCTGAAACCTCTGTGTCTGGAGAGAAAATATAGCCTCAAAAGCTGAGATTTCTTAGCATTTTGTGTTCAAATTCATTAAATGGAATCTAGTCTAGAATCTTTGAACAACATAGTTGATCAATAAATTTCTTTCTATTTTTTTAACATTTCTATTTGCTGTGCTTTATCATAGTTTTCAAACTATGAAACTCTACCACTTTGTTTTGTTTTTTAACACTGACTACATGTGAAAAATTAACTCTGGTTATATTATTTCAAACTATTCCTTTCATTAGCAACAGTTGTGTTGTACTGTCAAGGAGAATTTAAGAAATTAAAGGACCCAATTTGGGAAGCAGGCACATCTGTTTTACTTTGCAGTTTAAACATTTCATTATTGTTTTATTTTGCTGTATATGAATTCACAGCTGTCCTCTAACTGAAAACTAAAGAAAAAACACATGTTGGTAAATCTGATTTCTGCGTATTTTTTTCTTTCAAGGGAAGTCTCCTCCCTCAGCTGTCTGCCAATAAGTAATAAACGCATTTGGCAAAAAAATTTATTTAAGTTGACTTTATTAAGCTAACAAAATGCAAAAACCAAGCAAGGGACAGGCAGAAAAATGTGTTCCTTTGAAGTCAATAAAAATTCATCTCCTTAATCCTTTATTTAAAAAAAAAAGTCCTGACAATGGTGATTTTTCTTGACTGATTTACTGAGATCTTCGAGTTAAGCAATTTGAATTGTATAGGTATCTTTCCTTGCCAAAGCCTGTCTTATAATATTAACAACAATGACAAAAAGACAGCAACAACACTACACAGAGATGCAGTTCTTTCCTTGCTAGTTTCATGACAAACATTCTTCATAAGGGCAAGTGTTTACATCTCTTTATGAGTGTTGTCTGTAGCTAACTAGGTAGTTCTATCAACAGTGATACAGCTTTGTAAAACAGGCTTTTCATTTCTATCTACTTCTTAGAGAGGCAGCATGGTGCAGTAGATATTGGTCTGGCCTTGGAGTCAAGACTTGATGCTGACACGTTAACTGTGGGACGCAGGGCAGCCACTTAACTTCTCATTGCCTCAGGCAACTCTCTAAATTACATTTGAGTTACCAATTTAATCTGCAGAAGAGAAGGGAGCTGCCATACTGGGAGTTTTCTATGTCAGTAACAATGTCACATTTTGCCCCTTTCCCAGGCTCTTCCATCTCCAAACCACAGATATACGTGGATCCAAACCGGAAGCAGAGAGCTCAAACAAGGTGTCGGTAGAAACCTTCCTCTTACGGAGGGGTACTGAAACTCAGGACTTCTTACTCTTACTGCAGACCATGCGTCTTTTCTTAGAGACTTTCACCCATACCCCTCAATGATCTTTATGAGTACTATTTTTACTTGTGGAAAAAACAATCCAGGACTCTATCCTAATTTCTCTTTATCCATACCCTGACAATATAATCATTGAAGCTTATGTGAATGTAAGCTCCAGGAGGACAGGAACTTTCGGTTTTGTCTTTGTATCCCCCGATCCTAACATAATACCTAGCATATGGTAAGTGCTTAATATCTGTTGAATTGAATTGATATCCAAGGTGATTACTGATCACATATAAATATTGTTGTAAATCAACATTTGAAGAACTAAGGGAAAAACTTTTTTTTTTAAAGTATAGTAATCTCTTCCCCCAAGCTCCCATTTTTTCAAAACCAGGAAAACACCGCACATCCAGTTCAAAATACACGTAATGAGATTCCTTACCTAAACTAAAGAGCACTAAGAATTTCAGACACACAAACTCTCGTAGATCAAACTGCAGAGAACGAAGCTTGGCCACTAGTTCCTGGGCATGGCTCATCAGGTTGTTGAGGGTGGCTCCAGCTTGCGATGCAATTACAGAATAGTCCACCTGCAAAAAAGAATCACATTGGAATGTTATAAGAACCAGAAAGGGGCAAACCAAGTGCCAAAGAATACCAACAATTTCGGCAAATGGAAGCAATAATGGCAATGTTTTTCCATAGAATGAGTTTGATTCCATGGACTGTAATGGATTTTATCCCACCCATCTGAAGTATCAATTTCATTCTAGAAATGGAAGGGAATTTTATATGCAGATATATGTCTACAGAGACATATATCTCTATGTACATATAGATACATATTTATACATATAGAGATATAGATGTGCCTGTACAGACACACATCTACAAACACACATAGATATTTGTATATATCTATACATATAGAGATATAGATATGTGTCTACATAGACATCAATCTATTTAGATATATACCTATATATATTTGTAGTATCCATCTAAAATGCTTAGTAACTATGGTTAAATATTACTGTCACACAGGGAGAGGAAATATTTTTTAATGTAATTTGTTCAGAAAGCCCCATGTTTATTAGGAAAAAAGAACAAAACCCACAAAATTGAGCAAAACTACCAAAGTGATATTTTTGCAGGGTGATATTTTTGTAGTTTTCTCCCAAGATAGTAATGACCTTACTTTTAAGAAATGTTTTTCTGTGCCTTGAAAAAGCTTCCCTGATTCATTAGAAAAGAAAAAAAAATCTGTAAGGCACCAATTTTATATTATTCATGGGAACATTGGAGCTTCAATTTATAATAATAAGTTAAGATGTTTGGATGGATGTCAAGAACAGTATTGGCCTTACTGCTCGATTATACCATAATGGGAAAGCCCAGTTGGTACCTGAATCTCCCATCCTCCTCCTCTTGGAGAGCTCTCAGGCAACGGGCTACTCTTTCAGGTGCATTTAATATTTGCAGCAGCAGCAAATTTGTCTGGGAGGCAAGTCCTCATCTGCCACTCACCAAGAGCAGACTGTATTAAATTTTTATATTTATTGACATTTCATTACCATAATTGACTGCTCTTGGTTCTCTTGTAGAAGGCACAGGGCTGCCTCCTAAGCAGGAGAACTGGTCCCTTGAGTAGGATTTGCAATTAAAAACAAGGCAGAATGGATTTTTTTTATTGTGTAAATATGATGAGTTGAATTTTCAGCTTTAACTAGAGAATACCAAATGTACAAGAAACCTTTTTCAAGAGTGAGAAAAATTATGAGTCAGTGGAAAGACGACCCCCAAAGGTGTCAATCAGTTTATATAAAGTCAACTGTGCATGAAAAAGCCTCAGTTAATGTCTGCTCTGGCAAGGCTTTCCCATTAAGCATGTTGCTGTCCCTTCTATTTTCTATTTGTTGGTGGGCTGATAGTTGTCCCTACAATTCAAATCTTCAAAGCCCTCAGAGATGATATAACCTCTATTTCAGAATATGGGACTGGGAAAGGGTCAGAACAGTTGCGACTTGGATACCAAGCTGGAAACAGGGCTGGCAAGTGGCCAGGGTGTGATGTGAGGTGTTATTATTGTTGTTGTTATTATTATTATTCCAGTGCTTGGGCTCCACCGAACAGGAAGGTCAGATCTCTGCCATTCCTTAATTGGCAGTTAGGGAGCAGCTCATGATAGCTCATACCCAGGTGAACCTTGTACTAATGTGGGGTGGGGGGGGGAGAAGCCCTTGTCATGTCCGTACTCTGACTGGGCTTTAAATTCTATTCCAAAAGAACATGGACCAACTTGTTCTGCATAAAGAGAGACCAGAGAATAAGAGATTTCCCTGGAAACACTTCCCAAAGAAATTATTATTGACTAAGACTACTGTCTGAGAACTTTTCTCAGAAGAATATAGGAGATGTCACTATCAACTGGGCTTTCCCATTATGGTAGATGGAGCACAGGATTAGCTAGAAATGAGGAGAGTTGTTGGACCTCTAATACTAGTTTTAATTTCAAATGAAATAGTATACATATTAGTATTATTATATAGTACAGCTTATACTTGTGAAAATTACAGCTGTGTCTTGAGTACATTAATCTACTTCTAAAGCATGAGAATGGTCTTGCTTTCCTTATCATTATGAATTTTAAAAATAACAGAAAATTAAATGTTATCATCACTGCCATTTGGAAAGCATATTAGCTCTTCCTAATAAGCATGCAAATACATAGATATAATACTTTAGAATGCATTTGAAGTGTTCTAAAGTATGCATAATACTTTTAGGCAGCTAGGGAACATAGTGATAGAGTGCTGGACTTGGAATCAGGAAGACCTAAGTTTGAATCATACGTTAGTCATGAGTTGTATGACCTTGGGTAAGTCATTTAACCTTTCTTAGCCTCAGTTTCCTCATCAGTAAAATGAGGATAATCATAGCACCTACCTCACAGGGTTGTTTTGAAGATCAATAGATATGACATATGTAAAATGTTTTGCAAAACTTAAAGAGCTATGTAAATATTAGGGATAGGGACTGGAAATGATTTTATTGACATAGCATACTCCGGGATGAGGAAATTCCCTTTACCAATACAGATACTACTTATAGTCTTAGAACAGGGTCCTTGACCCCTATTTTTGACTCTTAATCTTGTGTTATTTTTTGGGCCATGGGGCCCCTTGGAAATCTGGTGAAGCCTATGAACCCCTTCGCAAAATATTTCTAAACACATAAAATAAAATATGTAGGATTACAAAAAACAATTGTGTTGTAACATAGTTATTAAAGTATTTTTAAAAAACAAGTTTATGGACCTCAGATTAATAATCTCTAACATGGTTACCTAGAAAACTGAGAGCTTAAGTGATTAGGCCAGACGTGAACCCAGGTCTTGGTGGCTCCAAGGCTGCTTCTCATAGAAATGTTAGCTATTATTATTACTATTGTTTTTGGTTATCATTTTGAGTCTTATGTTTTTAAAAGGAATTGTGTGAGATTCTATACAATGATGAAGCCAAATAATTGAATTTGGAAACATAAGAAATCTCAAAATATTGTAACTGAAAAATATTTTCAAGTATTTCCTGGGATTTAAATCAGTCAATCAAGCAGTATTTATTAAGTGCCTCCTACGTGCTAAATATTATGCAAGGCACTGGGATTAGAAACACAAAAATGTAACAGTTCCTGCCCTCAAGGAAATAGCATGTATATATATCAGCAAATATAGAATATATGCAAAGTCAACATCTGGTCATTTTTTGGGGGGTGTTGGTAAAGGCATCATCAGCTACAGGGAATCAGGAGAAGTCTTACATAGGAGATGGTGTTTGAGTTGAGCTTTGAAAGAAATTAGATCTTCTGAGAGACTTAAGGTGAAAAAGGTGTGCATTCCAGGCCTGGGGAATAGCATATAGAAAGGTATGGAGATAGGCGATAAAATATCATGTATGAGGAACAACAGTGAGTAAAATGGACCTCAATAAATCAATAAATCTATCTATCTATCTATCTGTCTATTTCATGCTTATTTGGAAGGTTGGTGGCACAGTGGATAGAGCTCCCAGACTAGAGTCAGGAAGACTCATCTTCCCGAGTTCAAATCTGACCTTACGCACTTACTAGCTGTGTGACCCTGGGCAAGTCATTTCACCCTGTTTACCTCAGTTTCCTCATCTGTAAAATGATCTGGAGAAAGAAATGGCAAACCACTCCAATATCTCTGCCAAGAAAACTCCAAATGGAGTCACAAAGAATCGAGCACAACTGAAATGACTGAACAATAACAATGTGTTTTCAACATGGCTGTGATAATACAAAATCATAGAATTTGAGGTTTGGAAGAAGCCTCAATGACCATCTAGTCCAATTTAGCTGTAATTAAAAAAATTGCACAGCTACAAAGAAAATGTGACTGTTCACAAACTTCTCAGTATATCTGAAACACTTTACATTTTATTACAAACATAATTAAATTTTCTTTGTTTGGACTCTGAGTTTTTGCTCATTTCAGGGGCAGTTGACATTGTTTTTTATGTACTTAGTAAAATTAATTGATTGCTCTCTTATACATGATCTTTTTGTCATTACAATGCGGAAAGATATTGAAGAGACATTTTAAATTTCTGTCCCTTTCAAATGAATTTCCATCATTAGGAGTAAGAAAGCCACTTTTGCTAAATCATCTTTCATTCTAAGGAGTGAAATTTTGATGACTTGTACATTCTCCAATGTCTGTCACTTTAACATGATACACAATAATAGAAGATAATGAATAAGTTGCCAGTAGACCCTTCCCTTAGGATAGATGTTACTATGTTGCTAATTAGCTAAAATATGCAAACATTAAAACTGATAACACTTCACAGTGCTATAGAGTATTTGCATTGTAGATGAAATAATGTATTTTGTTAAACATATGTAAAGCTTAATGCCTATACACGGCTCAGTTATTATTATTGTTATCATTGTTATTATTATTGTCTTTTCTCATTTTTTTGTTGGGATCTAGATAGAAACTATCCTAGTTCAAGCTACTGTCCTGCTATTATTATCATTATCATTAACAATTACAGTTACTTAGAAAAAGAAGCCACCTCATCTGGAGAGAAAGGAATTGTTATTTGAGGAATCGTGGTGTATCAATTCTGATTAGATCATGTTCACTATTGTAGAATTCATAAAATTTTGTCAGGAAGGGACTTTAGAGGTCATCTACTTAACTGATTATCATAATTTAAGACAATGTATTGGATGATCTGCTGTGGTTGCTTTAACAGAAAATTCTGTGAGGAAAAAGATTATTCTCTTACTGTTCATGGAAATGTGTGTTATTTTCACTATATGTATTTTTCATTCGTTCACTTCATAAAGCTTTTATTCAGTAACTTCTATGTGCCAGAAAGGTCATGAAATTACAAAGACAAAGAAAGAAAGAAAGAAAGAAAGAGAAAGAAAAAGTCTCAGTCTTCAGGTAGATTGTATTCTATCTTTCTATTCTATTCTATTCTATTCTATTCTATTCTATTCTATTCTAT